ACTGTACAAACTGTCTCGGGGGCACATTGTTTCAGGGGCAACAACATTGTCCATAGACAACAATTGACATGCCACTTTCTGTTTTCTCTCAAAATTTGTCGTTTTGGTGAGATTTTTTTCTAAACTGTTTTTAGAAGAACTCGTTTACTATCAAAAAGGCTTTAGTTGTGCTGTTCATTTGATCTCTGTACCAGTGTTATTGTTGAGAGGTGTGAATTGTTTGCCCAGCAGGTGGCTCACACCCCTCCCTTTTCCCATCACCCTGCTCACCTGCATATAAACACACAGACATGATACTCTACACACAGAAACCCAACAGTGTCCTGACTCATCTTATAACAGACTTGTGGCAATAAAATAATTAATTTGTTTATACTGACTGAAAATGTCCGATAAGTCGATTTCCATTTCGCCAGCAGAATGGAACACCAGTGCGCTGCTGGAAAGGGTTAAGGAAGAAAAGTTGTTGGGCTTATGTCGCAAGGCCCAGCTGGTCCAAGGCCAATGTCGCAATAGCATAATTTTTTTCTTCATGAAAATGACACATTTTTATGCGCACCAGACTTTCTGTTTACACAAGGGGTTTTTTTTAAGGTGTTTTTCCCCCTTTTCAGGGACTTTCTGTAAAAGCTGACAAGTTTTAGTGCTTTCCCTGTTTACATACAGTGTAATACAAATGTATTTTATTATAATAGAGTGATGTTATATTTTTGGGGGGTTTCGATGGAGTTTACATGTGCATAAAAACAGAGCAGGACAGGTGGGTATGTCTCACAGCTGGTGTGGATTTAAATTCCAGGTGAAATATATATATATATAAAGTACATTGGATGGTTCATAAAAGCTTTCTGTGTGAATTGGTCTTTTGTAGCCACAAACTGTGTTGTTCGTTCCTATTTAAAAATAATTACTAAAATATCTGTTTTGGTTTGTGTTTAGGTGAAGTAGTGGTGGTATTAGGAGGCTTAAGGTCAGGAAGATATCATAATTGAATAACATTAATATAGCCCATATCTAAATATGGAACAACATTTAATATAGGGACATCTTTTATTTTTTAGCATTTTTCATATTTTTAATATGATTTATATATTAAAGACTTGGTGGAGAGTAACCCACTAGTCTAGACAGTTAGTAAGGTGTATTGCTTTGTTCCAGGAAGTTTTGTATTTGTTTTGTATGCAGGTCAGCTGTAGAGGGAAAAGCACTGAGTCTCCAACCTGTAGCCAGATGATTAGTGTACGCTTTGGTTGGCCGTTTGTTGGAGTCAAGGTAAAAGTAATGAATATTTTTCTAAAAAAAAAAAAAAATTGTAGGGATATAGGGGAAAGCTGAATGTTTTCAAGTTAAGCCTAATATAAAAAATGAATAAAAATGTTGACTTTTAACTCTGAGCAGTCTAGTGCTTGTAACAATAAATCTTTTAACACATTCATGGCACATGTCTAATGCATCATTAGGCAAGTGTGCATACAGAAATTATTCATATGGCTTATCTCTAGCTAAAATCTGTTTATTGTTTAAAAAATATTGAAGTATGGAATCAAAAAGACTGATAGCATTGACAAATGTCATTCATGAATGATCCTGAAATGAATTTCAAGTATGTTTTTATGGTCTCCTGCTGCCTCGATAGCTAATTCCCTGTTTAACTGAAGATGAAATATTTTACGCTGCTTATTCTCAAGACAACTTTAGTAGCATATCATTAGAGAACTACTCACTGAAGATAGAAGCAAAAGACAATCATGGCGTTTGTCTTCTTTATTTACATCTTGAGTCATTATATGGTATTTGTCTATGGGTATATTAAGCATAGTGTTAACACTATTTTTAATAAAAAGAGATAAAAATAGTTTTTTAAAGCATATATTATATGATTATTTTAGTCAACAATATGTGATCTGATTATTTGATCTTTCTTTGATCCATCCTGGATTAATAGATGACTCAGGTCACTTTATATGCACAGTATTTTACAATTCTCAAGTAGTGCATTTGACTTTAATTTAAAAAGTTCTAATGAAATGTGTTTTCTTTATTATTGATAAAGCTGCGAGCATGTGGTGTGTTTATAAGGCGTGGGAAATTGTTTAGCCTTTTTTGTTTTTTTTAATTTAGTGACTTATTTTACAAAGGTGAAAGATTGCCCCTTTGTTTTAAATCTTATTAAATAATAATATTTAATTAAAACAATTAAATATTATGCATTTAATTTATTATATGTATAAAAATAAACATTATTAGAGATGGCATGATACCACAGTTTCTTTTCTGATGATAGCGATACTGAAACCTTGAGTATCAGCCAATACCGATACTCATCCAATACTGTTTTCTTTTAAAATTACTGAGCTTCAAAATTTTCTTTTTTTTACAGTTTTAACACAAAAATGACTTTCATTGTAAATGTAATAAATATAGTAAAGTAGAAACAGTTACAATTTCAAAAATACATTCCTTTTCCAAATTAATTTCCAAAATTTACCATTTGTTACAGGATCTGGGGTATCTGGGGATCAGATCAGTACCATATTTAATTATTTTATGTATCCAAGTTATGATGTTTCACATAAACACTCACTGTCCACTTTAATAGGAACACCTGTACACCTGATAATTTCTGCAGTTATCTAATCAGCCAATCATGTGGCAGCACAATGCAGATCAAGAGCTTCAGTTAATGTTCACATCAAACATCAGAATGATGAACTGTGGCATGGTTGCTGGTGCCAGATGGGCTGGTTTGAGTATTTCAGAAACTGCTGATCTCCTGGGAATTTCACACACAACAGTCTCTAGAGTTTACACAGAATGGTGTGAAAAACAAAAAAACATGCTGTATTCTGCAGGCTTGTTGATGAGAGAGATCAGAGGAGAATGACCAGACTGGTCTGAGCTGACTGGAAGTCTGTAGTAGCTCAAATAATCACTCTTTACAACCGTGGTGAGCAGAAAAGCATCTCAGAACACACATTGAAACCTTGAGGTGGATGAGCTACAACAGCAGAAGAGCACATCAGGTTCCACTCCTGTCAGCCGGGAACAAGAATCTGAGACTATCATGGGCACAGACTGGACAGCTGGAAAGACTGGAAAAAGACCGGGTGATTTTTATATATATATTTTTTCTAATTTTCAACTGTCCAGTCTGGGTGAGTCAGTGCCCATGATAGCCTCAGATTCTTGTTCTCGGCTGACAGGAGTGAAATCATATGTGCTCTTCTGCTGTTCGATGTTTTGTGCATGTTGAGATGCTTTTCTGCTCACCACAGTTGTAAAGAGTGATTATTTGAGTTACTATATCCTTCCTGGCAGCTCGAACCAATCTGGCCATTTTCCTCTGATCTCTCTTATCAACAAGGTGTTACCACCCACAGAACTGTTGCTCACTCAGTGTTTTTGTTTTTCGCACCATTCTGTGTAAACTCTAGAGACTGTTGTGTGTGAAATTCCCAGGAGATCAGCAGTTTCTGAAATATTCCAGCCCATCTGGTACCAGCATCCATGCCACAGCTAAAGTCACAGAGATCACACTTTTTCTTCATTCTGATGTTTGATGTGAACATTAACTGAAGCTCTTGACGTGTATCTGCATTGTGCTGCTGCTACATGATGGGCTGATTTAGATGACTGCATGAATGAGCAGCTGTACAGGTGTTCCTATTAAAGTGGACAGTGAGTGTACGTTCATATCATATTATGTTATTAAACAGATTATGTTTGTATCATTTTTGTATAGCAAGTTATCTACCACATGAAACTAAGCAAATGGACATGCCAAATCTTTCCTGAGCTACATTTTCAAGCTGAATTAATGATTTAGGTGACATTGGAAAGTCTAAATGTTCTGCTTGTTTTCTAGTATAAATACAACAGACCAGAACAGAACAAAAACAGAAGCTGTAGTAAAAATATAAATTGTGGATTTTACCTTTAATAAGACACTACAGGTAGAAATTTAGGTCAATCTTTTTTCAGGTTTTTGGATAACTTGAATCTACAACATGTCTACCCTTAAACTGTAGTAATACAAATTGTCAGAACTCAACAGCAACATGTTTATTTCACTGTTTACACTGTTTACAACCACCACATTATCTGAAACGTAGCAATTTTCAAGAAGGCTTTAGCTCCGCCCACTTAACACAATCACATCTTGCCATATATCCCTGAAAAGCTTGTTTCCTGCTATAAATATCAAGTTATCTGTCATTATTACATATATGTCAGTTTCTTTTATAAACCTTACAACCCACACTTACAACTGTAAAAATAGTACATGAAATCAAATTAATTTTTTTCTTAAATTCTTTCTTTCAGAACCAAAACTGTCAGTTTCTAAATGACTGGTGTATTTGTGTACCTAATTAGAAGCAGAGGAATTTCTCAAA